GTTTACTCCAGAATTGTTCCGTATTCCTTAGTGTCGAAAATATTGTGGTTAAATCGGATTCTAACAATTCTTTGGACATTGCTTCTAAATATTCCGCAGCCGTATAACGAACTTGTGGATTAGTTACATTCATCTTATGAAAAATTCCATGATTTAATTGACGGATATTCGTATTATTTAACAAAAAGAATAGGTATTGTTGATTTAATCTATACTGTGGATGTTTAGACATCAAACGACATTTAACAAATTCATGATCATGAAGCTTGACCTGCCTAGTTTCGTGCTGTCCATTAATACCAAAAGAATATAAATCTGGAAAACATAACAAATCCAAACATTTCTCACGATTATCCAAAGGTAAATCATAGACTTTTAACATTTGATATAAAGCTGTTGCAGTTTTATTTGTTCTCTTTTCATATAATGGATATATAGTATATTGCTCATAATAACCATCATTTTCATCATTAATAACCTGAGTTAGCATTGCCTCATGCTGATTGAATGCAGCATCTCCAAGATTTTTTGTTCCCTGTATTTCGGTTTCTAAATTATTACTTAATGACACATGCTCCTCATCCAATACATCTTTTGCAACATTTTCATCCTCTTGCATCTGAAATTCCAGATTATTTAATTTTCCCAAAGATAATTCATTATGACTAATTGGTAATATTATTTCAGAACACAAAGGATTATTATTCTTTAACCATATTAATGCATCAAATACTTTTTTAACATTTACCATCTCTTCCCATATAATTTTTGATTTTGTGGGAATACCTCTGACTAAGATATATAATTCATGATTAATATTTATTGCATCGGTATTAGAACATAATTTGTTTAATGTCTCTTGTATAGGAAGTGGTAAATGAAATGTTCTACCTTTAACTTTTGTATCATTTGCCTTTCAGGTAATTTTTTGTTCATAACAGTTGTCATTTTAACAACAGTTTGAAATGCTTTAGCTCTCTGTATAAGAATCTTTTCAAATGTATTAAGAGATGATATTACTTCAGGCACATTATTTGTAAAAAGATTATTCAAAATGCAATACGCAGGCATTAAACCTTGACAAAATTTTTGTTTACAATAAATACATATATATTGTGCATTAATTTGTTGTTTCTTCACATGTCCATTAAATCTTTCCAAACTGGATTATCTATTTTGCTTTAATGATTTTAGAAACATTTTTTATAACAAAGCTTTTCGCATGATACACAAGCATAACGCGGTGTATCCATTAGACGTTTTTTCAAGGCTTTAAACGCATTCTTATACTTAAAAAAGATATCATCATCACTTATAATTGCATCGGTTTGTTGATGTTTGTATATATCTGCTTTCTCTTGTGCAGCAATAACAGTTTTATTTAATGCTTCCAAATCAGCACAATTTAATGCTTCATCTAAATTCAACATTTTTTGATACAAATTTATAAGTTGATAAATCAAACGCCTTATATTTCTCACTTTCGGAAAATGGGGCGATAACAATAGAATTGGTAGAAACATCGCTCCACAAATAGTGAAATTAATATAGCAACTCTGTGCATGACCAAGTTTCGTATTTGATGTTTTTACTGTACATGTACGAATACTTTCTATCAATCTAGGAACATTCTTTACAGTACATGTACTAACAGTTTCAAGAAATTTTTCATATCGTTCAATCAAAACTGGATTGTCAATTTTACATGAGGTACTGCACGACCACGATTTTTTTGCTAGTGCTGTTATCAAAGGTAACACATTTACAATTTGCCCTTCCATGTTCATTACTAAAGATTCTTCCAAAATTGCATTACGATATGTAGACTCTACAAAATAATTTTCAGATGATGCTGTGTGTCTAGATATCCCACATAACACATCTAATTTTTCATTAATTCCACAACACTTATCAACAAGAGTCAAGCTATACTTCTGATTTCTTTTTTAAGTACAGCTAATATATTATACATCTTGCGAATATAACTGTTCCTAATATGTATACACCAACGTATTATTTTCTCGGCTTCTAATTGTTTTTCGATCTGACCTGTAATATTTAATTTATTTGAAATATTTTTAATAATTATTGTGTGTCAAAGAAGTATGAAGTTTTATTGTTGAATTCTGACACCGAAAATTTTTATATTTTTTAATAATTTTATTTGCAACATTGCATTTATTTATTACAAATTTGCTTTTATTCTCTTTTCTTCTTTCTTCTCTTTTCTTCTCGTAATATTGTCTGTTACAACATTTACGCTTTAATATTTTTTGTCTACTTTGTTTGTTTTACGAGCCTATAGCATAAAATATGCATTGTTGTGTGCTTTTTTCAACAAAATCTTCTTTATATCGCAATCTTTTTTTAGTGCAATTATTTTTTAAATCATTTTCATCTTGAGACCGTTTTTCAGAGCAACATCTTTCTAAATTATTTTTCTTTTTTTTATATAAACGTCGTTTTTTAGCGCAATTTTCTTCCAAATTATTTTCAAATTGACGCCGTTTTAAGACATTTTCTACATTTTGTTTATACCGATCTTGATTTTTATATTCATTTTCATTTTTCTTTCGTAATTCTTTAAATTCAAGATTTTTTTGCAATCGATTTGCTTTTTGTTGCTCCGTCTCTTTTTGACGTTTCATACGTGCACGAGTTGCTGAAGCTTCTCTCTTTTTAATTATTGCTAATGGAAGCACTTTTTGAACAGTATTATTATTTAAATCTTGAGGGAAGTGTTCAATCATATTAGATTCAAAAATTTTTATTTAATGAGAACGCATTAAACTATGATCATATCTCACTTTTTCAGGTTTAATATTAAATAATAATGAAATAGCAAAAGCTATAGCAAAAACACCACAATCATTACCATTTGGTTGTTTTTGTACAGTAGGAAACTTGACAGGCCGCTCATTAAAAGGATAAGTTGGAAATAATTGTCTTAAGAACTTTTCATGATCACTGTGCAATTCTTTCTTATTTAATGAATCATAAATAAATAAATTTTTTCTATCATAATAGCTGCATATCCAATGTTCTGTGCTATGTAAAATCTGTATATGTTTTTTGTCTTCTGGTATAGGTTTTATATATTCGAGACGTTGCAATTTCCATGTCTCTTCAGGTTTATAATCTGAACAATTTTTTAAAAATTGGTTAAAATAATCCATATGTTCATCGTTTAACCAACCGCCTTGAACAATAATTTCTTTTTGATCTAATGACAGCATAATCTGTTCTATTTCCGTAGATTTTTTTATCTTACTAACTTCTTGATTCTCATGTTCATTTTTATTATTTTTCATTTGTAATTCTTTAAATTCACGATTTTTTTGCAATTGATTTGCTTTTTGTTGCTCCTTATCTTTTTTACGTTTTATACGTACACGAGTTGCTGAAGCTTCTCTCTTTTTTAATTATTGCTAATGGAAGCACTTTTTGAACAGTATTATTATTTAAATCTTGAGGGAAGTGTTCAATCATATTAGATTTAAAAATTTTTATTAAATGAGAACGCATTAAACTATGATCATATCTCACTTTTTAAGGTTTAATATTAAATAATAATGAAATAGCAAAAGCTATAGCAAAAACACCACAATCATTACCATTTGGTTGTTTTTGTACAGTAGGAAACTTGACAGGCCGCTCATTAAAAGGATAAGTTGGAAATAATTGTCTTAAGAACTTTTTATGATCACTGTGCAACTCTTTCTTATTTAATGAATCATAGATAAATAAATTTTTCTATCATAATAGCTGCATATCCAATGTTCTGTGCTATGTAATATCTGTATATGTTTTTTGTCTTCTGGTATAGGTTTTATATATTCAAGACGTTGCAATTTCCATGTCTCTTCAGGTCTATAATCTGAATAATTTTTCAAAAGTTGGTTAAAATGATCCATATGTTTATCGTTTAACCAATCACCTTGAGCAATAATATTTTTTTGATCTGATTTTAACATCATCTGTTTTTCTATTTTTATAGACATTTTTGTTTTATTAATATTATTAAAATTCAATATTTTCTATATCCTTACAGGCACACAACAGTTACAGACGCACAGTAGTCGATTTTTGTAGGCGCACAGCAACCCTCCTTTTATGTCAAGTGTTTAAAGACGCACAGCAGTCACTCTTGAAGGTGCACAGCAACCTTTCTTTTTATAAGCGCACAGCGCAGTGTTCTTTTTATACGGTGCACAGCAACCGTTCTTTTTTATAAGCGCACAGCAGCTCTTGTATAAAAAATATTTATACGGTGCACAGCAACCGTTCTTTTTTATAAGCGCACAGCAGCTCTTGTATAAAAAGTAATTTATACGGTGC